TGAAATCCTATCGTATTTTTTGATGCCATAGATTAACCTCAAGCAACTATCTTGGAGCTTTTGGATTCGTTTGGTATCAATGGAGTTTATACAAAGAGCGTAAATAACATCGCAGTAATTTAACCTGGATAACACTAAAGAGTCACATAGTAAACTTTTGATTCTTTCATTAAATAACTGTCTATTTTGATAAATCAGTTTGAGATTACAATATGCTTTTTGTATACTTGTACTGATATGATAAGAAAATCTCATATCTTCGTCAATCCACAAACCCAGATTCTTAACTTTATTAGAAAGTGTTAAAGGCCCCCCCTCCAAATTGAATGCTAGCAAAGTGGTTTGCAGTAAATTCTTTTCTTGCATTCTTTCTACCAAAAACGATTGCAACAGTTTTATTTGAATTCAGTTCTAGGCAATGATTATTAGAAAATTGCTCGAGATTATATAGATCAAAATTCAAAGCACTAATAGCCTGAAAGTATTCTTCAGGTTTGAATGACAAATATAATTGTGTATCATCAGCATAATAGTGCTGCGTGCATGATAGGAAGGACTTAGGAAAATTGCAAGTGAAGAGTAGGGGACCCAATACTGACGCTTGTAGCACTCCTTTATCAATTTTTAAAAATTTCGAAACTTTTCCACAGTATCAGCATTGCACCCGTGCGGAGCCGGGGCGGTTCGCTAGTATAGTATAAGTGTATATACTTTAGTATTTATTGTAACCTTTCTTTTTCATGTCTCAAACTCTATTTTGATTGTGGAAAATTTCAAACATTCATGTTAAAGAGCCAATATCTATCATTGGCTCACTCATGAATATATCAATTATGCTGCCAATATCTATCATTGTCTCACTTATAAATATATCAATTATGTGATTTTAACTGTATTGGAAGTAACGCGTGATAGGCTGAGGTGTCTGTTTCTTCTCTAAATACACATTTCCGCGTTCATAGAGATATACTTCAGAATTCAAATAGAGGGGAGGGGACGGGTAGGTAAAGAAGAGGGGGAAGGGGAGGGAGGGGAGGCGTGTCTGTACACGCGTGAAAAAAATATTGTATAACAAAACACGTGTTGCATTTTTGTAAAATTGTTTAGTGACAATCACAATAAAGTGTTTTTTGAATACGTTTTCAAAGTCATTTATATACTGTGCTTGCAGCACATCCGAATCAAGACAGTTTTGTAATTAATGGTCCACTGATGAACAGGACTGTGCAAATCATATTTCTCAAATAATCATATGATGAAGTACCTACCTAATATAAGATTTTTATATTTTCAGGTTTTGTCCTTCGGTTTTCCTGTACTTGGCCAGTGTAGTTCCCGCAATATGGCTTCTGGAACTTGACAAAGTTGATAGAAAAATGAAGGCGTTGGGAGATCTACCGATGAATCTTACCACGGGAAGCCAACTCAAAGAACTGAGTACTCTTTTCGCTGGGGTATGTATGCTTAAGATTTTAAGACATGTGAGAACGGTTAATCGTATATCCTTCTTAAATACAGTTCTGGGGGCAATCAATAAGTTCCTAACTGATAAGTTAGTATTCATAAATGAAAAACAGAGTCCAAAGCACATTACATAACTCAGGATATGAAACTACAAACATCTTTTCACTGCTTAAGTATATAGATCATAGGTCATAGGTCAAGTGTGCAAGTAGAAATACATAATAGAAAAAAAGCCAAAACCCTCAACTTTCGAATGGGGCATTATATAACGGTCAGAAAAAATTTTGTGAAATGGGATTATTTTTAGTACTTTTTGATAAAGAAGCCAATAGTGTGACATCACTTGCTGCCGAGAGAGTGGTATATTCTTTATTTCAAATGAAAAGGGGGAAAGTAGTTTTTCAATAGGTGAGTGTTAATTTCAAGGGCATAAAACGATATCATTACATTTCAACCTCGGTATGATTTATCTTATACATGAAAAATCATTTGTGAAAATTTAAAATGTTCTCTTTCGACCACCTGTTGGAATGTTTCCGGGGTAATGCTAGCACAAGTTTCGGAAATTCTGTCTCTAAGTTCCTGTATTGTCCCAGGGCATAAACTTACGATTCAATATAGTCCCAAGGCAAAAAATTGACGGGAGGAGTCAAATCCGGTGAACTAGCAGGTCATTCCAACGGAACGGATCGCGCCCACTAATATACATGTCTATGTCTGATTCAACCAATTCCTTACAGACCTAAAAATATGGGAGCTCACCATCTTGTTGGAAAACAACTGGAAATTTCAATTCATCTTGATTGCTGGCCACATTTTCTTAAATATATGTATGGATGATGTTCTGAAGAATTTATGAATCTAAATCACCAGTCAGATTTTCCTTAAATATGTGGAACCAACAATATGATACCCTACCGACGTTTAATTTTCTCAGAAGTTTGAGTGTGATGTTCTTGAAAAATATGTGGGTTTATGTCTTGACAAATATCGCACATTTTGGCGGTTGACATTTTCCTTCAAGAAAAATGTAAATTCGTCACCGAAACAGATATTTTTATGCGGTTTCGATTTGCAATCGAACGTTCGGATATTAACTCACAAAACTGCATTTTTCTGTCAGTCACCTTCACTTTATTTATGTAATATCCAAGTGAAACTTATGTTTTTCGAGGCATTTCTTGACGGTGGTTCTTGAGACCATTTTCACTGTCGTCGTAGACTGCTGGAGTTATTCACCATAGACTCAAGGATTGTCCGAGATAAATGTTTTTCCAGCTCTTCAAGCTCTAGCTACACTTCGAGTTATTTTAAATTGTTTAACAAACTCCCTGTGATATTCTCGGCAGATCGGATCCTTAGGGAATCTTGCATTGAACGCCCTTTCTGCCTCATGAAAATTATGCCCGGCCTCGACACAAATGAGGATTGCTTCTGTTTTTCCTGGGAAGATCAGATGCAAACCATTTTTGAAAATCCAAAAAAATGAAACGAATACCAATAGTAACAGCTGTTGAGCTAACAGAATACCTACTCTTATCTACACAGTCGATCACAAAAAAACCTAAATCGGATTGAAAATAGAAATGCGCTATTTTGGTCTAATACTTTGGTTCAATTTTATTCCAAATACAATTCATTTCCGTGAACAATTTCTGCTTCTCACACATCACAACCTGTGATAACTAACTTTGGAGTTGTTTCAGTCCTTTTTTGGTTGCAAGTTACCAATTATCATTTTTCTAGTCTCTAATTAATACACCAATAACTTCGTAACCGGTATCCAAATTCAAACCAGTATAGTTTGATGTATAGAGAATTGAAATACATTTTGAGCGAAAGGTCACAAGACTCACCTGTTGAATATATTCTAAATTCACCTACCTGTGACTGAATACGTCAAATGTAGGAAGAATATGGATGAGAAATACAGTACCTAAAAGTACTAATTCTATTCATAACTTTTATATAAAAAAAAGACTACAAAAAATACATGAACATTTTAATCAAACACACCTCCTTTCTATTACTAAAATATACTAAAAATTATCCCTTTTCATGAACAACTTTGATATCTTGCCCCGTTCTAAAGTAAGGAGGGGGGAATATTTACGTTCGCACTGTATACGAGTGTGTATGCATTATATGCATATATGCAGTGTTAATCTATAGAGGGGGGACTATTTACGTTCGCACTGTATACGAGTGTGTATGCATTATATGCATATATGCAGTGTTAATCTATTATTATAAATGCTTAAGTCACTCACTTAATAATCACTCATTCATCTTTGTTTCTCCGTACTGGTAAGTCCTAGGAAGCTAAAATTTGGTATATAGGAGCTTCTCAGGTCTTAGATGCGTAAGGATTTTTGAATAGTCCAACTGGGGCGCCAGCCGCGGGGAAATGCGCGTTCATGAAATAAAGTTACCTTTTCATCACTGTTTCACTTTGAATTAGCATCATACAATATATTGAGTTGGGCTCAATATACCTATCTATTGTTTAAGATGATATGTAGATTGAAATATCATACTGGACATCAATAAATAGTGTTAATCATTTTAATTGCAGGTTCAAATACAATTGCCAGAAATATCGATGAGTACGGAGACTTGGATAACATTAATTGAGCAGTTTTTAATGTTGATTCTCATAATTGGAAGGTGGATGTTGCCAAAAGGTGATCTCACCAGAGATCAGCTTAGCCAGTTATTACTGGTTTATATTGGTATGCACTTAAACTGAATTTCCTAGGAACTTACTTTGTCGTGGCTCAGTCCAATGTTGTTGCTTTGATAAGTGTAATGTGATGTTATTTTGATAAATGTGCTCCCTGATATTTCCGTTGAATTTATGTTATAATTGTGGATAATGTTCTGATATCGTAATCTAAAAATATTCAACCATGATATCCTGCAAGGGAAATGAAACAATATTTATTGAGTTAATAAATAAATATATTTCTCTAGACAATAGTTGAAATATTAGACTAAAATAATTTATAAAATCTATAGTGAAATTCCTGTGATATATCATGGATTGGTCAATTACGATAAATTCTATTTACTCAATTTACATACACTATATCATATTATAAAGAGAAGAGATTTGTTTTTAATAGATGGGACAAAAACTACTTTACCGATTTGAAAAATTCTTTCATGTATAAAAAGCTACTGCTACGTTTTATCCCCGTGGGTTTACCAATAATTAACTACACTGAACTATTATCAAACTAAACTTTATTTCACTTTGAATACAACAAACACTTCCACTGAAACTTCAACTATTATTCGAATGTGTATCTCCTCACTAGATCGCTTAGCGTACCGCACTGTAACTTTCACTTGACTGTGTCGATATGCTGGTGGCTGGCCTTCATATATAGTAAATCGATTGCGTTGGAAAATTTCTCCGAAATAGTCGGTAGCATTATTCTCGCTACATCTAGAGCGGCCCCGAACATCGTAAATTCGCGCGCTCTTAGCTACGTCACCATTGGTTTATGGCTACCAGTGGCGGCCGGCGTTATTTTTCTCAGAGTTAGATTTACAACACTACCCCCTTTCCTAAGGTTGTTCGCCCGAACAACATTCCAAGAGGGGACATCCCAACCCATGTAAGGACTCAGCCCCCCTATGTGAATAACTTTAGGCTTGCTTCTGGGTGACAATTGGATTCTGTATACCAGATCGTTTATCTTATTGGTTACCAAGTAAGGTCCTTGCCACAATCTCTGCAACTTGGGACACAAACCTTTCCGACGTTGGGGTTGGTAGAGCCACACTGCATTGCCCTCTTTGAAGCTCACTGGCAGCGACTTTTTGTCAAATCTTATCTGCCACACAATACATCTATCTGAAGCTTCAGTCCCCTACCAGTTAACAACATGGATGGTGTGTAACCTGTCGCGTCATGTTGGGAGCTCCTGTATGCCAACAGAAAAAGAGGAACCAATTCATCCCAATCTCTTTGGTTTTCGGATAGGTAGTAGGTAGCGATTATGCTCCCCGTCCATTTCGTCGAACTGGGTGAAAGCATTTGTTCTTGTCTTCTTTATTCCCAACAGAGTCATTATTTCCTTCCATAAATCCTAGTCGAAGTTGCGGTCCTGATCCGAGCGTAGTTCTTGGGGTACTCCGTGTCTGGCAATGACATTCTGCAACAGGGATTCTGCCACCATTTGAGCCTCTTGGTTGTGTAAGGCTACTACTTCAGACCATTTGGAAAAGGAGTCCATCACAACCACTCACATCACTCTTTCACGTTTCGACGCCAATTGACCCATTAGTAACTCTGGCGCACTGTCGCTAGAGTTCTATTTACTCCAAAATGCCCTCCAGTGTGACCATCGTGTAGCTGTTCAAGGATACTCGGGATACACGTCTTTGTAGGATTATCTGGAATTTCTGGGTTTTTCCATCCGGGCTTTCCCATTTTCGAGTGAGAAAGTCATCTCGAATACTCATGGAGTCCCATTGGAGTCGGTAACCCTTTCCCTGCTGGCCGTGCTTAGAAATAATTCTGACCTCACTCCTTCGGCAATCCATTCTCGTTCAGTTTTCAAGGCGGGATCCTCCTTATGCGCTACGACGATGTTTTGCCTAGTCAGGAAGGAAGTGTCACCCTCAGAGGTTGTTAACGACCGTACCTCACCGTGGTCAGCTGATTCCTCAAATTGTCTGTCCTTATCCCTGGACAAGGGACCTTTACAGGTTGCTACCCTCCGGGTCAAAGCGAACCCGAAGAGGCGGGAGGTAGGAGAGCTTATCTCTCTATCAGAGCTGTCCATGAAGGAGAGACTGCCTGCTACCTTATCACGTCTGGTGGGAAGTTCTTCTTCTGTCAACTGGGCATCCTCGTCTTCCTGGCGTTGGCAAAGTTTACATCTTTCCACAGTAATCCTTTTCAGGTCCGGTGATTCTCTCCGAAGTTCCCGGAAAACTTCTTGAAACTTTTTGTCGACTCCTTTAAGCTTTTTTTTCACGCTCTTCTTCAAATTTTCTTTCGACTCTTTCAAGCTCCTCCTCAAATTTCCTTTTAACCCCATCAAGCTTCTCATCGACTACTTTTTCCAATCTTTCCTTTATTTTTTGAAAAGTTTTTGAATCTTCAAATAAATGAAAGTATATCTAATTGTCCTTTTTTCTTTCGTGTTTTTCCAGAATATTCAGTAATAAATTCAAGATCTTCCTTTCGGCGTAATCGTTCTTTCTCCCTACTCCGTTCTTCATTCTCTTCCAGGCTCGCTGGCAAAGCCTCAAACATTTTCTCTCTCTCTCTCTTCCATCTCGTCGTAATCGACACTTCTTGTTCACACCATAAAACAGTAAATTTTTAATCAATTATTCCACTTCCGACAACAAATGTTACGTTTCTCCCCGTGGGTTTACCAATAATTGACTACACTGAACTATAATCTAATTATATTTCAATTTGAATACAACAAACACTTCAACTGAAACTTCAACGATTATTTGAACGTCTATCGCCTTACTAGATCGCTTCGCATACCGCACTGTAACTTCCACCTGGCTGTGTCGATATGCTCATGGCTAGCCTTTATATATAGTAATCGAATGCGATAGAAAATTTCGCCGAAATTCCGTCGAAGTCGATAGCATTATTCTCGCTACATCTAGAACGGCAGCAAACATCGTACATTTGCGCGTACATTTTGGAAGAAAATAATCCTGCCCTACATCAGATGAGTTACAGAAAAAATAGAAAAAAATCTGTAACGAACCAACATAAAAACAACATATAAACCATCGAAAATCATGAGGAACTCTTTGAACACAAAAGACAAAGTTAACCTGGAAAACTGAGGCATATATGAAATCACATGTGGAGATAGCAGCGGACAATACGTCGGCCAAACAAATAGGCGAATATCAGTCAGATTGGAAGATCACACACTCTCACCTCACAATAAAGAAATAACCCGAGTTCTATACCAACATTTCTTGATACAGGTCATAACACCGTCTCGAAAGCTGCAAACAGATTGCCAGTATACAGCACCAGAAAACCAGAATGATAAGGGAGGCAATCGAAACTGATTAGATCAGCAGTAAACAAGAGATGACGCACACAACCTCATAGCTGCATGCAAAACCATCAAGGCCAGTGCACTTCCAACATCAAACACACCGCCCAGGGCAGTAATCATTGTGCCTCCAGTCAAGTGTGCATCACACCATTCCGATTGCCATCTTGATTTAATTCAGGATAGAGCCTAGCTGCCCTACCCTTTTAGCGTACTTCCCATGGAATCTTCCAATCGAAGTACCAGCGCTCAAGGTCGTCCAATGCATGTTGCATGTAGATGACTTCGAGCTCACGACCCATGGAAGAGGCGAAAAGAGCCTTGTCGTCGGCGTGTAGGATAACACGCTCGGACCTCGGAAGGTCGCTGGAGGAAGGTCTACTGTCACCTGAAAGGTTCTGCTCTTCAGAAAGGACCAGATTCACCGGACAAAGCCCCGGGCAGGCCGAACTCAAGTGAAGAAGGCCTTCGTACCAGACACGGTTGAAAGCCTTCGAAATGTCCAAAAAGACTAAATGGATGTTTTTGTTATTGTTAAGCTAGTGGATGGCATTTTCAACCAGCCTCAGAACTTGTAATTCGGTGAAGTGGTTCCTTCGGAAACCAAATTGCTCGTTAGGCAGAACATTTCGGTCCTCGATTTCTTCGCCGAACCTTTGCCGGACGACTCCTTCGGCCAGCTTAGCCACTTAGGAGAGCATGCTGATCGGATGGTGATTGTGTGAGTGATTCTGGGGAAGTGCCTAAAGGCCAGTGGGCTATTTATAATGTTAAAGAACTTGTTGACGCAGTTTTTCGTGAGTCTCTTCAACAACCTGTCCATAGTCATCAACAACTTGTCCATAGTCAGTGCTTGGCGTTTAAGTCGTCAGCAGCAATTGTGGGAATGTCGGTTCCCATCTGCAGTTAATCCAGAGATTCAGGATGAAACTGGTTCTGCGGAGGGTTATAAACCGAGATTAGTCTGTGACAACCCCTTCTCAGCTGAATTTCGACACCCACGGCCTCAGTTCTGTGTGATCCGATATTATCAATGGCATATTGAACACTCCAGAAAAATCGTTTGACAAAAATCCCAACTCTTCCAGCACGTCCCACACACACCGCTTGTGTAATTTGGAATGACAAAGGGTTTGTTGCGCAGATGGATCTCTTGAATCATGGTCACGTCGATGTTAAAGTGAATCAAGAAATTTTAAAAGTTGTTCTAGAATAAAGTTCTGGAACAAATTTCATTGGCATTCCAAAAGAAGGGGCAATGTAGGCTGTCCAACCATTAATCAGCTTCGGTTAGCACGTTTCTATTCACCGTAAATATTCAACTGAGTACGGGGAATCTAGCAAACAGTTTGTCCATCTGATCCAGAGCGGAACAGATGTCCAAAACCCCCTGTGTCTGAGGTGAGGGCCCGGGTCGAGAAGGAGTCGGCGTATGTGGATATTTCTCGCTGCGTAGGGTAGGGGCAGAGCCCCTTGACTTTCCTCTGTACTTTGGGGTACTCCAGGCAGTCGTAATTGTTTGCCGTGTATCACCCCTTGCAATTGTGGCACTTCGGGGAATAAGTCAAGTTTTTGAAGGCGTTGGAAAAATGCCTACAAGTGCTCTTATGGCAGCCTGGAACTGTCATGCAGTTGCATTGGTAGTGACCGAAACGTGTTCATCGATGGTACTGACCCGTCGAAGTTTTAGGGTGTTGGGGTTCAACCCGATCCCTCACATTCAGTGGGTCTTTGACCTCATAGATGTACTTCTGGTATTTGATGAATAGTTCAAGGATCAGAGGCAGTGATTTGATAACAGAAATAGAGTCAAAGCCCCTATTTTCGAGCTCAACACGAACATCGGAGATATCCAAGTGTTCTGGAATACCCTGAAAGTAGGCTCTGATTTGCCGGACTTTCGGGATTGAATATGTATGGTGAGGGATTTTCTTCTTCACCAAGAGCTTGGCCTGGCCAACCTACGATAGTCGACATGATGCCGTCATGCAGGTTAACTGATTCGGATAATTTTATTTTATCCTTCGCAATAAGATTAGTTAGTTCTACCCATTTGTCCTTCTGACGGGCAATGATGGATGGCAGCTGGAAATAACCATAAAAAATATGAAGGAATAATTTGGGGATAACTTCTTCGTCGAAACTTCCACTACTTTTAGCTCTTTTCTTGGGTTTTTTATTGGTTTTCTTCTCGTGTTTTTCCCCACTGTGATTTGGTTAAATCACTTCGTCTTATATAGACGCTGCTCAGTCCAAGACCGTTTTTACCACCAATGTTCATGAAAATTTGGATTCAGGTCTAACTTACCCTTTATTTCAAAGTTGACCCGGTACTGGGGGTTGCTTTTACACTGAGAATGGATATCATCCCTTCTCGGGGTGAAAAATGTCCGGAAATGGATAGATTGAATAATTCTGAGTGATTTTCATTTCATAGTTTTTTTGGAAGTCAATATTTTCCAACAAATTTGCGAATGGAAGTGTTAATGTTCCAACTAATAAACCCATCTTTTTAGGCGGTTTTTCAGGAATAAGTCAAAGAAAGTATTTTATAGGACAAAATTATTACACCAATGTAAATGTACAGTTACCAAAATAAGTCATGGCCGGTAAAAAAAATTATCTACGTAAAGTTTGTGTCGTTAAATTGCATTTGTTTATGCAATTTATTATTAAACTCCATCACTAATTGAATACGGTCCTGAATTTGGATGTTTACAGTTCAAATAATCTAACAGTCTGATAATTGATTTCTACACATCTACTGCACATCTTGTGGGAGGGGCTTCCCACCGGCCATGACTCAGTCCGGCAGCTGTAGCTCATAAACAAAAAAACCGGTGAGTTTATGGTGTGAGTAGACCACAACATTATTTTTGTCATAACACGCTTCGTTTTGATGCTAGGGACTTTTATGAAAAATAAAAGTGAATGTTTTTGAAGCACTTCTGTTTATATGGGGTCTACCGACACCGTCTTATTTTATAAGCTTCATTTTACTTCAAATTATGTTATTGATAAAGTACTCACCTTTTGAGTTACTTGCAAAAGTCCGAGAGAAAACGTGGGTTTATTGATTGAAATGAAACAAAAAGAAATATAACTTTATAGTAGAACCAAAGTTGCTAGAAATTATTGAATAGAACTGGCCGATACTTGATGAAAATCCATATTAAAAAACTAATCAATACAAAGTCTAACTATTCCCGGATTTATTTTCAATGAAATACTTCATTGAATACCAATGTTACATTTTCATATTTATAGATCTTTCTTGAAACAGTTAATTGCTGTAAATCAAATTATCTGAAAGAACAATTCGTTCAGACCAGTCTCAAATTACCTTCATTATAGTTTTATGGACTGAACGCCTATCAGAAAACAACTAGTTCCCTGGCTAATATCCACTATATCCTCGAATATTTGGAAGGCGATCATTAATATGGCTTTTGGAAACAAGGATCAACAGGCGACCTTCTATCGTATGTCGTCTATATTTGGAATAACGTAATCGAAGAATCATGGAGCTGTTGCGCTAAGGCCTTTAACCGTGTGTGGGATGAGGGTTTGCTGGCCAAACTTTGATGATATGGCTTGTCGGACCTGAAAGAACGTTCCCTGCGAGTGGCCGTCGATGGATATCTCTCGAATACTTCCACCATCAACGCTGGTGTTCCCCAGGGATCCATATTGTCTCCAATCCTCTTTCCATTGTGTATCAAGGACTTATTGGAAAAAACCAAGAATCCAATGTATTGCTTTGCTGATGACAGCACACCAGGACATCGGCTACGGAGGCACATCTTCACCGGCAGCAAGAGGTTGCATATCTCAATGAGGATGTAGAAGTGATTTCGAATTGGTGTGAAAGTAACCAGGTTCAATTCAATGCCACAAAAACCGAGGCATCGGTTTTCTCCAAGAAGAATATTGTCTCCGAACCAGAAATAATAATGTCAGGTCAGACAATTCCGCTTTCTGCTTTGATGAGTTTGTTGGGGGTTAAAATGGACACCAATATGTCTTGGCACAATCATGTCGCTGGAATTGCAAAGGCTGCTTCTTAAAAGCTTGGAACACTGCTCCAAACTATACACACCTCAGCAACTTTTGATGCTTTATAAAGCTAAGATCAGACCTACTTTGGAGTATTATTCTCATATATGGAGATCTGCCCCCAAACATACCTGGATTCCATCCAGAAAAGAGCCATCCGCCTGACTGGAGATGCGAACATCACGTGCAACCTTGATAGCCTGGAACATCGGAGAAAGGTTGGGGATTTGTCTCCCGTCTATAGATACTTTCACGGGAAATGTTCAAGTGACTTGGTACATTTGATTCCACCAAGATCGGTACATATCAGAAATGCACGACGGACCGTGGCTGCTCATCGCTTCATTTCGAGAATCAACTCAGTACACCTCGAACTGCACTGCTTAAGAACTCTTTCATCTGAAGAATTGCGTTTATGCGGAATAAACTTCGTGAGAACGATTTTTCAAATGGATTTAATCTCCAGCGATTCAAATCCAATGTGAATCGCTACTTTCGCACAGGCACCACTCTGAGAGCGCCTTGGGGATTTTCCTGTAGTGCTTGTGTTTTGTTCTTAAAAAAATACCACGATGGGCGTTGGATTATATCCGACAGGTGTCAGTACAAGATTCTTCACTGAAGTTAATCTTGCATACATAAACGTTATTCCTGCATACATATGCCAACAGCATATGCAGGAATAACTTCAGTGAAGAATCCTGCAATGACACCTGTCGGATATAATCCAACGCCCTTCATGGTACTAGCCAAGGAGTAGTTTTTTCTGATAGGTGTCAGTCCATTACCTGAAATGTAGGTGATTAGAGACTGGCCTGAACGAATTGTTCTTTTAGATAATTTAATTCGATTTTACCCTCTCGAATCAAATTGTTCACACGCAACTTGATCATTCGTAAAATTAAATTCACTTTTGATCCTTCGCTGTATGTTGGGTGTTTTCACTAACATTTTTGAATGCGACAATTATTGTATTTTCTGTTTTAAGCGACATGGCATGCCACTGTTTCACTGATAATAAGTAACAAAAGTACGCCTGTTCTTCATGAAGGTTGAATAGATACTGAGTTTATCAGAAAGCAGTTTACAATAGTCGATATAAGTACACAAACACAGTGGAATGTAGATTTTTAAAGTGTTCTTGCTGTTGAAATACTATAGCTATAACAACCATTAACAAATAACTTTGTGAAATCTTCATCCTGATTTTAATTTCTATTCCATTAATTAAATTCCGATAATGATCAACCGATAAACTTTCATCTTCTCAGGCACAGCTGCTGATATCATAGAATTTTTCGATTCTTTCAAAGATGACAAAATTGCATCACATCAAGTTTTGGTTTTTCTAACGTTGGGCATATGGTAATTACGGATTGCCTTCATTAGAATTTTTGAACAAAAACTTTTTTTGCAGGTCATGGAGTTTGATGCAGTTTACAGTGGTTTTAACAGCTACAAAATCAAGAAAATCTCGACTTGCTACAACATCATCTACTGTAGACAGGTATTGTAAATACAACAATCAAAATGAATACCGTTTTAAAGTTTCTATAATTTTCGTTCGTCAAATAGAGTTAGAGTATTGATAATTTCAAAAGAGAACTGGCATGTTCATTAAAAGTTCATCTTCTCATGAAGTCATTTGTTTGTGAGTGTACGTAGTGGTACTCCTGAAGTCTGCATTATATGTGTTTTTATTGTCCCATCATCAGAAATGAACAGGGACACCATCTCTTTAACAGAAAACGCTATTGAATCAACAGGAACATGAACATTCAAAAGTCAAATTTACAAAGAGTATGAAGATGAAGAATTATGTGGTTCCATTAAAAACATGTAGATAATTGAAATAAGCTTTTTATCAAGTATATTAGCATGCGAACTCTATACATTTTTGTGTTTTTTCATCCTAAACTTTTCAGGTGATATTACAATCTCGCAGGAACTCTAAATTGAAATCTTATCCAAATGTACTGTGTGTACTGCGTCCTTATCCAAGGACAAAACACAAGCACTACAGGAAAATTCTTAAGGCGCACTTAGAGCGATGCCCGTGCGAAAGTAACGATTCACGTTGGATTTGGATCGCTGGAGATTAAATCCATTTGGAAAAACATTCTCTGGGAGTTTATTCCACAAAAACGTCGTTCTCCAAATGAAACAGTTCCTAAACAGTGAAGTTTGAGGTGTACTAAGTTGAACCTCAAAAGGATGATCAGCCACAGTACGTTGGGTATTTCTGATATGTAATGCTCTTGGTGGAATCAAATGTGCCAACTCATTTGAACACCTCCCGTGAAAATATCTATAAAAGAGAGACAAATCTCTAACCTTTCTTTCTTTTCCAGACTATAAAGATTGAAAGTGATGTTCGAGTCTCCAATCACATGGACGGCTCTTTTCTGGATGGAATCCAGCATCTTCAGGATATGTTTGGGGGCGGAGCTCCATACATGAGAACAATACTCCAAAGAAGGTTTGATCTGAGCTTTATAAAGCATAAAAAGTTGCTGAAGTGTGTACAGTTTTCTGGTTCGGAACAGTATTTCAGCGTTTTGAGTAGCAGCCTTTGCGAATTCAGCGATATGATTGTGCCAAGACATATTGTTGTCCATTTCAACCCCCAACAAACTTATCGAAGTATAAAGTGAAATTTTCTGACCTGACATTATTATATCCCTTTCGGAGACATTTATCTTATTGGAGAAAACCGACGTCTGGGTTTTCGTGGCATTGAATTGAACCTCGTTACTTCCACCCGAGTTCGAAATCACCTCTAAATCCTCATCAGGATATGCAGCCACCTGCTGCCGGTGATGTCTTGAGATCCAAATGAAATGATGAGATAAGTATGTTGTCGTCAGCAAAGCACTATATTGGAGTTTCTTTCCAACAATGCTTTATATACAGTAAAAAGAAGTTTGGAGACAACATGGATTCTGGGGAACACCAGCCTCTGTGGTAGGAGTATTCGAGATATATCCATTGATGGTCGCTTGCAGGAAACGTTCTTTCAGGAAGCTGGAAACACACACACGAAAATGATCCGACAAGCTATAGCATCTAAGTTTGGCTAGCAAACCCTCATGCCACACATGGTTAAAGTTCTAGAAATATCAAGCGCAACAGCTCTTGACTCTCCATGTTTCTCGATTGCGATATTCCAAATGTGGAATAACGCAATCAAAGTTAATGTGGGTGTCATACGATAGAAGATCGCCTGTTGATATATTTGTTTTCGAAAGCCATATTGATGATCGCCTAAGATGTTGAAGCCTTTCAAATATGTAAGGATATGAAGGTTAACGGCTTTCTCCATGATTTTTGATATCAGTGATAGCAAAGCGACAGGTCTATAGAAACAGACAAACATATTTGAAAGATTTTTTTGCCTTTTCGAGAATAGGCTGAACAAAAACCATGTTTCAACAAAAAAAAAACCTGGTGGTGGAATTGTGGATTTTGTAAAATTATGATTAACAGCTTTAGCTACCGACCAGATTGGCAAGCAGTTTATCCCTGATTCTCTGATTTGTAATTTCTTTGTTTTCATTGATCCTAAGTTTGCAACTGTTGCGAGCATTAACAAATAGTTCTGTTTTCGGCACTGGGACTTTTGCGCCACTGCCATTAGGCGAGATTTTTGGATGCGACAGCTTGCTCGCTTTTTATCCAAATGCGGTTTGTGCTTCATGAGACATCCTTCTCTTGAGGAGGCGATAAGTCGCTTCCTGGCTGATAAAATCGCTAGATTGAGAGGTGAAAAACTCTTTTGATCCGTTTTACTGAGAGTTGGGATCCTTTGGTTGACGTCCATCTCTTCTCTGATCTCAGGTATCACAAGTATCCCACGAGAAGCTAATAAGACAAAAGGCCCACCCGGAAAGAAAGCGCCCAGAATCCAAAATTCTTTATTTGTTTATTTGGTTACAACACTAACAAAAAATCTATTTAGGTACATATGGACAAAAACAGACATTCTCCCACATACGGGAGTAGGGTTAGGAAGGGAAAGTGGATAGGTAGAGGGGGGAAAGGAATGGCAAGGTGCCCGGTATCTCGAAGGTTCTGTTAGTGATACCGACTGGATTCAGACTCATATTTCCTTTCGACACGTATACACACACCTTAGGATGGTGTGTAATTTGGAACGATTCTTGCTTCCATGAATGACACCTCACGGCAAGAATATTCTATCAACTTCCGCTGCTGGGTGCTTATCGGATAGTAATGGTTTATAATTTGCGCGACTGAAGTTAGAACAGAAATTTGGTGGCCTGTTTTTTGATCATTCTCGCCATGAAAGTTAAAAGTATCTTTGATCTAAGCTAGGAGCAAGTGACAACCAATTCAGCGATTCATTTTTAATCACCTGTGCTGTATATAACTTCGTTTTATTATGGCTTTCATGATACGAGGGTGTCATCAGGTAAATTTGAAGACACTAGCGAACCTACCCAATGATAAACGATCCGAAATCAATAACGAAAGTCATTTTTTGTGGAGAAAAACCAACCCAATGATGAATGATTCGAAATCAATAACGAAAGTCATTTTTTGTGGAGAAAAATCAGTGTTTTTATCGACTTTCTTTGAGTATGGTCACCTTCCATAATCAGTTCCATGAATACATAATCTTCATGAAGAGTTGCCCTTTGTAACGACTGGAGAATTATTCTTGATTTCAGTGATGCATTTGAAAAAACGTAGGATATAAAAAAGGTTCTGAAGCTTCACAGATCATTTCACAGAAAAGTTATAGAAAAAACAATTTTCACATAAAAACAACTCATTCTTCAATCATCAATCATTCGTTTAATTTTAATTGAAGTAAAAAAAACATACAAATAAAGACCGTTGCCTACCAGACGTTACTGCGATATTAATCCTGTTTAATGAAATATTGTTTAGTTTTTCTTTTCTTTTTCAGATCAGAAAACCGTAGTATAGATGTCTGCAGTATCTTATTGAATATCATTCTCCAGGATGCCCCCTTTCTTGTCTTCAGACTTCTTCTCATCACCCACTATCAAATAATCACATATATGAATATTTTTTTCACTTGCAAGAATACTTTGGTAATTTTGCTTCAGATCTATAGGTAAGAATCAGAGTCTAATGCCCATTCCATTTATTTTTATCAAAAATAAAAACAATTGTAAGAATCATGAATGATATACTGTATATTTGGCTAGCCGCATACATATCAAAAGATTTTGATTCGAGACAAATTTTTGCATATGCATATTGTTTCAAAATATAAGTACATATTGGCCGGGAATGCAATTATAGGTGGAACTATTACCTTTCATCGAAATTCCTCCTATAAAATCCTTATGGAAACATTTTTCAAACTCTTCCCACGCTTACCATGTTGTTCACTAGCTTTTCTATAGTCTTTGACGACTATGAGATGTATACAGAGTGTTTCAAATTCGATCCTCACCATTGGGAGATATGTGTATTTTGTAACATTTTAAACCGCTTTTTTAAGATGTCTCCAAGCACTTCTATGACAAATATTCATTTCGGAGGAAATTTGACGTGTAGATTTCTCCGGGTTCATGTTTATCTGCAAATTATTAATTTTTATTGAAAAGGACACAATGGCTAACTTACCTCATACATACTTCATTTATTAAATTTTCCGTAGTTTCCTGTCTGCGTATTTCATTCTCGGCTTTTGAAACAAACCAAAATCGGTGAGATTTTGATCCAATAACTTGAACATAGTTCGATGTGGTTGTCGTCTTTCTGGATACAAGTTTAAATACATTTCCGATGTCCTAACACTATTTCTATCGTATTTGTAATAAATTTGTATCATATCTCTTTTTTCTTCATTCATGAAAGTCATTTCTCGCCAAAAATTCAATGACTTGTATAATAACAAAATGTCATTGAGTGTAACAAATTGAAAGTCAAATTTAGGAACATCAAAGTCAAAGCCAATTATGATGAGAATTAATGTTTTTCAGTATCTCCAATTAGTCTCCAACTAATGATACATAATTGAAAAGATAAAATCTGGTTCTATTCTAAACAGAAAGAATCCATTGTAGCACTCTTAAGAGAAAATAAAGTTAATGTTGATGGCCGGAAGACGAAACGTCGGATAGAAAATGTGGAAGTGCCATTTATTTTCGAATCCTTCGAAAAATAAATCCAGAAATGAATAAAAACCATTATCGGAAATTTCTGTTTTTTCCGGATATCTCCGGATATACTCGGAATTTCAGAACTTTCTCAACGAGAAAGGATCAATTTGAAACATCCATGAACAGTATCTTTACTCATCCGAAAATAGACCATTTAGAATTAGTAACTTCTTTCAATTTATTATTATTTTTGAGAGCAGATTGGAACTCTTTGCATTGAATGTGTTCTTGAGCTGTTCCCGTTGACCTCAAAAAGTTGAAAACCTCCGAACCTCACAAACATAAAGAACGAAAATTTCACTTTTGATAATTCAATAGTTTGAGACCTGATTGTTTTGAATTATAAGTGATGCATCTCAAAATGATACAAAAGTCAGTACGATATAGATTTCAAAAAAATCGTCTTTTCACCGCCAATTAGTAAAAGAGTGTTGTAATTATCAATTTCCAAATCTTTTGAAATCTGTTTCATTCCCATATCCATTGTTCTTTCCGGTATTTTCGGAACTACAGGTACTTATTTAGCTTTGCTCAACATATCCTCTGGATGCACTTCACAAATGTTGTGATGTTGTTCATATACAAAAAACCACAGACAGCACATTTCATATTTCAAGGCGAACTTTCAAAATATTTTTAGTTGAACAAAATCGAAATAATTTTAGGCTAAATTATTCATTGAAATACCATAAGTAAGTACTATAAAAGTGCTATGGAACTCATTTATAATGACAAATCATATCGTTCGTGTCAAAAAATCAGGCATACAATAACCCCTTGTATTTATAAGCTATCTTTACATAATACTTACATAATCACACGTTAAAAGGTAAGACCTCGTTAATTATTAGCTCGCACAAGTTTCGACTTTTGAAGGTTATCGTTCGTAGGGGTAAACGGAAAAAACAGATTTTAGACAGATTTTTACAATACTTTACTTTACAAACTTACAATATTGTTATGTTACAGATTGTATGTAGTGTATAGTGAACCTAACAAAGAAAAGGGAGCCGGCAATGATGTAGAAATGTCCAACATTTCAATCATTTCATCTCTATCCAGAAGTGACCTCACTTTCGAACCAAGAAGAAGAAGAAGAAGACCTTCCAACCAAAGGCAACCAGGTCCAATTAGAAATGATACTTTCAGAAGTACTAGTAGTAGGAGGAGTGGAGAAACAGAGGACTCTAACGACAGTGATGAAAGTAGAAATGGTGGCAGAAGGAATAGGTAGGTGTAGCGTAAAAAATATATGATACATATATATGTAAAATATATATGTTTAACAACTCTTTCATTTGGAGAACTGCGTTTATGTGGAATAAACTTCCTGATAACGTTTTTCCAAATGAATTCAATCTTCAGCGATTCAAATCCAACGTGAATCGCCACTTTCGCACAGGCACCACTCTTAGAGCGCCTTGAGGATGTTCCTATAGTTCTTGTATTGTGTCCTTGAAGAAAACAGTAAAGAACCATCACATAGACATTTCCTCAACAGCGTTGCCATCTGTGGAGTTGAAATGAATGATTTGATTTGAAACGAATTTCAAAGCACATTGCACTGTGCACTAGTTTAGATTCCGGAATGTTTGATGTCGATTATCATTTCATGATAAAGGTCGTAATTTTATGTTAATGAATAGATATCGTTAACGATAGGTCACTGTTGGTGGATATTGAAAAATTATCATAGATTCGATATGACAACGCTCAGCTCAACAGAATGACCTTAGAATGTTTCCGAATAATCTTTAACGCCGACTTCACTTAATAACTGTGTTCATTTAATTTTTACGTCCATGGTAACCAATAATGAAAAGTACTTGCGATGCACTGTTTGGAACCTTTGGTGTAGTAAAACTGTGGAATAACTTGACTGAATCAGGAGAAGATCCCGAAACATATTTCTGGGGTGATTTGAGTTCAATAATGGGCGAACTGGATCATAAGACCAAATCGCTGAGAAATGAACAAAATTCGAATAACTTGAAGGAAGAACTTCTTGAAAATGCAGGAGACCTAAAGAAAGCACTTTGTTTTGTGACAAGTCTGCTGGAAGAAAGGGTAGGAACCATCGAGAAAGAGACAGACAAAATCAGAAAGTATCTTGAGCTACGGTATGAGCAGGCCCACCTAGAGCACGTTTACCATTCACTGCTGAAGAACCGCTGTCAGAAATCAGGAGAAGCCGACATTGCTCGATTGGTTCATCTGGCATATCCTGCTACACCGGAAAAAGTAATGGAGCGGTTAGCAGTTCAGACATTCTTGGACGGACTTCGCATAAGTGCAAATAATAAAATTCTGTTATGAAATCCGGGATTCTGTTCCGCCCATTTAATCGTCCTACCGAGAAGACTATTCGCAATGTGGTTGATAAGTTTGAGTTCACTTGTTCAGATCGACTAAAACATGTACGTTGACAAAACGCAAGATCTGCCAAAAACATCGCCGCTGTCTGTGAGAATGTGCAGGAGTATCCGAGGTAGTCGATTTCGCGTCGCTCACAAGAACTCTGACCCTAATTTTCATCGAAAAATCATCTTTAACGATGAGGCCCATTTTTGGATGAATGAGTAAGTGAATAAACAAAATTGTCGAATTTGGAATGTTACTAATCCACATGAGATCCGAAAGTGTCCAATGCATCTCGAAAAAGTCACTGGTGTGGATTTTGGGCTGGCGGCGTCATCGGCCCAAATTTCTTTGAGAATGGTCAGGCCATCACTGTCAACGGCGAGCACTATAGGTCAATGATTACCAACTTACTTTGGCCTGAGTTGGATGATCTGGACACCAACGACATATGGTTTCAACAGGACGACGCTCCGTGCCACATAGTTCATGCCACATTGGATATTCTACACGAGCGATAGTCATCTCACGTGGACGAGATGTGAAATGGTCACCGAGCCATGCGATTTGACCATGTTAGACTTTTTCTTGTGATCGTAGGTGTATGCGAATAAGCCACAAACCACTGCGGTATTCAAAGTCAACATAACAAATGCCATTGGTACATTTGGGCACTAAGTTTTGTTTCCGTTGCTACACCAATATGGAAAATATTCTTTGAATAATATTGCTTCTGAAGAAGCCATTGTGTCTTGAATAAGAAAGTGCACCAACGGAAATCACTGAATAAAAACTTTCCAAGAAGTTCAGTTAGCTAGTTGAGTTTATTTACAAAATGGTGCCAGTCGAATCATCTCAGTAAAAATGAATTTTAATTGTGGGTCCTTTCTTAAAATCGTATTCGGTTTCTAATTTTTTCCAAACAAAAATGATACCAATTTATATTAATGATAAAAGTTACCACCTAAAGTTTTGAACGAGGTTTATTTTGAAGGTATTGGGAGAATAATTATGAATGAGATTATGCTATATATTTTCCACTTGTATTAGAAACCACGGTATCAACATTGGTATTTTTTTTTCAGAAGAACGTTGAGTTCTCGGAAGGACACTGGCTACTCAACTGCTAGTTCTCAAGTAAGCACAAGAAATGGAATTCAGAAATCTCAGTCGAGAAGATCTAACGCATCTAGTATATCGAACAGTACTGAAATCTTGAACCCCGAATCAAGAAGGATAATGAAACAAAAACTCAAACGATCTGATAGAGAAACGCGAGGGAGAAGGAAAATTGAAGAAACAGTTTCGGAAGAAAGTGACGGAACTTATGAAGACGAGCGAGATGTAAGAAAGGAAAAAGCCAAAAGGGAACGCGACAGAGAACGAGAAAAATCTAGGTACGTCTCCCAATAATTAATAACATGACCATTTGAAAGACATTTCGAATTCGTCTATTGAATGAACTTATATCATTTACACAAAGTTTTCAAAACTTCGAATTATATTTCGCTCTATCGATACTTTTGGTTCAGATTTAGAGTTGAAAAACGACCTAATAGTATGAACAATATGGATGTAGCGCAAAGATTACCGGCAACGTGGAGATTCATCTCATCACTCCACAAAATCAAACAGACCGCACAACCCCAAAAGCAAAACTTAGCCCGTGATTCAGGTATAATGACAATAGTAGGCCAGGCATCACAGGTAATCGAGCCAACACAGGCAGTGAGAGCAACCCAGGCAAATAGTACCACCACCCCTATGAATTAAGGAACAGTCCAGTTCTAAACTCCAACTCCAGACAACACCAGAAGATGGCGAACCGTTGTGGAAATAATCCTTGTGAGGATCAAAAACACAGAACACGGAGCGTGTGTGGTTGTAGAAAATATCTGCTTTATCTAAGAATCAACTCTCTCTCTCTCTCTCTCTATTTTAGATGGTTGTCGCTTCCTATCGTCAGGCGCATTTGACCAATGCTCCTCCTGTTGGTTAACAGGAGCTTCGTCGGGGGGCGCAGCGGTCTTGCACGAAGCAATGCTGCCAACTTCTTTTTTTCAATATAAAAACAATTCTTGATTAGCAAAAACTATTTGATTTTTTATGGAGTCACCTCCTTTTTGGGAGACCTTTTAGATTTTGTTTTCACATATTCAGCCCCCTTTACGTGGTTATCCGAACCACTTCGGCCTGGATACCGGCGTGAATAAAAGGGACCCTGTATTGATCTTTTTTTTTAATGACACTCACACATTTCCCTAATTAACATAATGGACTTGCACTACACAAAAACGGAGTCCCACGATAGCACATGGCATCCACTTACATTCTTTGTGGGCGGACGTTATCAGCACATCCGTCCACTACCACGGCCACCATGGAACTCCAAGAATCAACTCAATAAATGAAATAATATTTAAATTGAAAGGGTTTTATCTGTAGGAGTGGATAATTTTTGGGAAAGTGCTTGGCTTTCTAATACTCCATCTTGTTACAAAAAAAATGTGGGCAACCAAAGAAAGAAAGGAAGCAATCAATTTGAAAAGTAGTAACTTACAGTTTTTGAAATTACTATGGATCTTCATCAAGTAACGGCCGTATCAATCAGAAAAAAAACTTTCTTTCCCAAAAATAATGATTCCTAAAAATATAACCTTTTCAATTTAAACAAGATTCCTTTGGCTAGGAATTAATGGAATAAACGAATGAATGTCATTACGATGTCATTGATGACATGAATAGATCAAATTTATTGTGTGACATAAAGTCACACTACCAAAAACTTTCTTCCCCATGAATACTATTATATTCTGAATGAAATTGAATAATCTAAGCAATTATAGAGTTAGAGTCCGCTTTTCGTTCATAACAAAACATCATAACCAAAAAGAATTCATTGCAGAAATTTGGAGACAATTACACAATAGAGCAGGAAAAAAGTTATATCTGCTTCCAGGTTCAATGCAAAAAAGAACTTGAAATACTACAATCTATTTTTCGATTTTGGGAAAATTGATATATATATTCAGATATTAAGGGAGCACGTGGAACATAATTTTAAAAATTAAATGTTTGTAAAAATAACTATTTGATGTTACTTTCTTACATTTAATTTTTGTTTTAGAGAAAGGCAAAAAAGCAAGAGGTATGACAAAGGATCTACGGTGACTGCAAGTGATCAATCGACCGACTGACGTCATCAACTAGCCATAATGGCTATATTTTGTTTGTATTTATTTATTTTTATTTGTTGTTTGTTTTTTATATACTGTGGGATCAATACCGAAGGTCTCATTATCGCCAAGTTAAATAAGAAAAACATAACAAAATAGAAATTCTTGATATTCATTAAATTAAATGTTTTGCATGAATCAAGAAAGAAGAACTGAAGCGTGAAGCATAGCCCTGAATTAGACATAGGTAATAATAATTGAAACATTTCTAAACAACAGTTTCCTGAGAAAAATAGTTCAATCCATATCGAACGATGAAGATTTCAGCCGGTTGATTATATTGTTGAAAATAAAGTTACTTCGATGTGTATTGTGTTTTATTGATGTGTATTGTGTTTTGCATGAATGGAGATGGCAGAAGACAGAACTGAAAAGTGAAACACATGTCTTAACTTGACATAGCTAATAATAATTGGAAGATTCATACATCAGTTTCCTGGGAAACAAATGTAACAGATGATGAATATTTCAGCCCATATACTATATTGTTGAAAATAAAGTCTTCTTGATGTGTACTCTGTTTCATTCATCATAGGTCAAAGGGTACAGTTTGTCTTCTGGTAGATATTTTTTTTGTTTGGGTTAATGGAAGTCATGCTGTTTACGTGAATAGAATCAAGATTTTTCATTCTGTTGATAGCTAGATAATTCAACATAGCGAGATGTTTCATATGGACGAAAAATAACCCTTCATACCTGTTCTTACTGTTGTGAATATCTTTAATATTCGCGGCCTCGTAACTAAACTTGGCCAACCCCCTAAATGGGGTTGGCCAAAGTGATATACACTACCCGCCACTCATGATGAAACAACCCATTTTTACAGTAAACATACTAGGGGGTAAAATAGACTCAACATTCCATCAGATTCGTGGTCAGGACTGCCAACAATACACTTTTCCCTGAAAAAAAGTTTAGTTATGAAAAATCTGGATTTGTCTCACTTGTCATGGAAACACCCCCGTATCTTCCGTAACTATTGAAGGAGATTTTTTTTTGGTTTTGACATAATTTCCCTCGAGCCCCAGAAAGCTATCCCCTCTTCCCCAGAAGAGAGGGAAGAGGGGATAGGTGAAAGCACTCGAATGACCTATAAATAGTCAGATCAGGAATAAGTCCAGACATCACCTATAGACGATAGTGGATTCTAACATTCGAAACGTCGTTAAGAGTAAGAGGCCCGGTTTTGCCGGGTATGCCTACAGACACGTACACTTTATCAAAATGTGTAATGACAGATATGTTTAAAGAATTTCTGCTCATTTCATTATATTCGGAAAAGGACAAGGAAGGTTCGAACAAAGAGATTTTTTGAGAAAATAAAATACTTTTCCAAATATTATTGTGTGAAATGACTTGTTTGAAGGAGTTTTATTGAACTTCTACACAGCATAATGCTTACTAAAAATTCAAATATGTCTTCGTCCGAACCTTGCAATGCCTATGTAGCTTGCAATAAGACAGTCAGTTTTCCAAAAAAAATAATTATGAGATCATATTTTGCAAAATCAAATTTATACAAACGAGTAGTTAGGCAAATAACTCACATCAGATCATCACTAATTGATTGAATTCAGGCGCGATAGAATAAAATCAGAGAAAGTTTGTGGTAGTAGCCACGCCCCTAGAACAGCGGCGCACGAATACATATTTTAATATTTCTTCAATAAAATGTGAATGGAATATTCGGAAATTATTGGGAATAAATATTTAGGACTGGATATTTCACAGGAATATAGATTCTTTCGGGGATTTCAAATCAATGTATATTATATTCGACAATGGGAATCCGAACTAATGAAATTAACCCTTATAAACTTTATTTTACATTGTTCCCCATATATAAAAATCCAGTGGAGTTAGATCTGTGGATGGTGGTGGTGATGACACCTAGTACTATGCTTTTTATAGGTAGGTTCCTATTCAACAAAACCCTTGTTATGCCACTATTGTGAACTGGTCGTCCATATAGATCTTGATCGAATGAAAATGGCCCGATAATATTTTAGTTCAGAATACCACACCACTAAATACTTTTATGAGATCTGTATCTGTAGAGTAGGGAGGGTGAGGGTAAGCCCACAGCACTTAGGCCACATGTGATCCATTGTACATCTTTCCGAGGAGTTGTCCTCTTAGGTCATCGTCCATCCTGTCATTTCCAGGAAGGTGGACAGGTCACTGGGAGACATCTCCTTTATATCGGCAGGTGTAGGCCAAGACTCGCCAAACACACTCTCTTATTGACGATAACTCCGGGCCCTCGCATAGGACATGCCTGACAGTCTCATCTTCCTGTTCACACATCCTGCATAGAGGAGTGTGCACTAGCCCCATATTATGGAGGTGTTTCCTTAGTTGAAAGTGGGCAGTCAGAAATCCTATTGTTAAGCGTAGACTTTTCCAGGTCGTCAACAGATATTTCTTCGGCGCCAGCTTCCTAGGGTCGCCCAAGGTGATCCTGGCAAGATTGCATCCTTTGATTCTATCCCATCTCTTTAGGGATTGAGCGTGGGTGCCAATGGATCCTTAAATTCTTAGTTCAGCCGCTTCCTTGGCTAAAGAGTCGGCAATGCGATTACCTTTTCTCCTGTCGTGCCCTTTAACTCACCTGAGGATAATGTTATTATCTTCCGTGTTAGGAATCACACGTTAAAAGGAAAGACTTCGTTAATTCTTAACTCGCACAAGTTTCGACTTCTGAGGGTTGTTGTTCGTAGGGGTGCGGCAGCTGGTTAACGGAAAAACATATTTTTTTAACCGAAGCATTGGCTAAATCTTGATGACACCTAGTACTAGCCCCGAGATTACACGTTGACTGTTCAAGGCTAATAGGGCTTGTCTGCTGTCAGTGCACATTGTTATGTTTTTGCCAGAAAGTCCTTTCCTGGTTATTTCTTTTGTGACGATTGAGATATCATCCAGTTCTGTTTGGACTACGCTGGTATTTTTTCCCATTCCCCACTTAATCCTTAGGCTTAGTAATCTGGGATACACTCCACATCCTAAGCCTTCTTTGGTTTCTGAGCCGTCTGTATATATGCGTGTTGCATTTGTAGCATCTGACTCTGTGTTCTGTTTTATTTGTATTTTGTAGGGTTTATTAAACAGAAACCTAGGTTCAATTGCATCACTGGTTGCCTGCAGCAGAGGTTGCGCAGTAAGCGCTTCTCACCATATGCCCTGCCTCAATTGAACCATTCCTACTTCGAGGTTTACACCAGTCGTGCGCAATCGTACCATGGCCATTAACGCAACCTCCTTAACGTACAGGTCCAGAGGGGTCAGACCATTAATTAATTCCATTGCCGCGGTTGGTGTTGTTCTCATGGCTCCTGTGATGTTTAAACATGCCAGTCGCTGTATTTGATATACTTTTTGGGTGCCTTTGCTTGTAGAACTTTCGGTCCCCATGTAATGGCTCCGTTCGTTAACATAGGTCTTATTATTGCAGTATAGATCCAGGTGACCACACGGGCTGAAAGACCCCATGCGCGTCCCACTGTCCTTCGACATTGCTCATAAGCCACATATGCTCTTTTTTGCTCTACTCTGTAGGTGAGAGTTCCATGTTAGCTTCCTGTCGAGAAAAGTACCAAGGTATTTTACCTCTTCAGAGAAGTTTAGTTTGCTTTCGAAGATTTCGGAAGGTTCTAAGCTCGATAAACTTCCCTTTTCCTGGTGAAAAGGACCATCTCAGTCTTCTTGGGATTGATCGACAGTGAGTGTTCCTTACACCATGTTTCTATTAATTTGAGCCCATCCTGCGCTCTGCCACACAGTGTGTTCACAAATTTACCGGTCTGCAAGATAAATAACTATGTCATCTGCATATGCACTTGTCTAAAATCCATTATTTTGAGGTGATTGATCAGGGTATCCAGAACTATGTTCCAGAGAAGGGGTGGACATACCCTCATGACCAGTCCTCTCACTGTAATGTCTTCTATTACTCTACTAGAAAGCATCTTGAGTATCCATTCTCCTACTACCAGGGGTACATTCCTGGAGTGTAGTTGCTGGGTAATTGTTGGAAAGGTTGTTTTATCAGACGCTTCCTCGATATCTATGAATATATCCAGGGTGAATTCTTTGTGTCCAATGATCTCTCGATTCTGCCAACCACATGGTGAAGGTCCGAATCAGTAGACCTTTCCGGAGTATATGCATGCTGATTTGGATGAAAAGGGTTGTGAACTAGTACTTCATTACTTATGTACCGCTCTAATAGCTTCTCCATGGTTTTTAAGAAGATAGATGTAAGACTAATTGGTCGGAATGCTTTTGGTAAGGTGTAGTTTGGGTATAAATACTACTCGTACTTCTCTCCACTTACTGGGAATATACTTCAGAGCTAGAGAGGCTCTGAATATTCCAAGCAGGTGCGGTATAAGAATATCCAGTCCCCATTGAAGTAGGGCTGGTCTTATACCGTCAGGTCCTGCTGAGTTGAAGGGGAAAACCCGATATGGCCCATCTCATCTTGTCATTTCAGGAAAGACAGAACCTAGGAAGTGAGTTTCCATAAGAATCTCAGCACTCTCTTGGAGTTTGGCAGCTTTGTCGCCATTTTCTCTCGACAGGATGCCGATACTCTTATGGTGGTCATTTGGTCTGTAGCCTAGAAGCTAGTGGGAAGTCTTCGACTGCCTCACAGTAGGCTCTGCAGGCTTCTCTTTGTTTTTGTCTGTAGACTTTTTTGAACTCTCCGAGGTTGGCTTGATATATACCCTAATCATTTTCGAGTCTTGTACGTTTTGCCTTGTTAAAGGTAGTTCTCGCTGTTTTCCTGAGGTGTTCCAGTTCAGGGCACCACCATGTATTCGTTGTGCCATCTGTTTGAACCATCCTCATCGGACAGGATTCCTAGTAGGCAATGTCTATTTTGTTTCGGATAGATACCATGTAACTTTCCAGTTCTTCATTGTCGTCAGGAGTCAGGACCTCTGTTTCCCGCAGACCTCCTTCTAAGAGTATAGTCCTCTTCAGGTCACGGGATTTTACAATGATCCTGAGATCCTGGCTTATCGTTTAGGTCAACCAGCGGTAGTCTGACATAGAAATATGATCCGAGACTTGCCAGATATCGTAATATCTATTAATGTTTGGCTACGGATGTTAATAAATGTCGGCTCCGTGGCTCTGTTCAAGATTGTTATAATTAT